TGTCCGCCTCTTGGCGTCTCCAGGGCGGCGGCTGGCTGCCCCGTGTTCCCATGGGTGCGGCGTGCATCGCGGCTGTGGCTGGTGTCTAACCCCTGTCTCCGATGACAGAGGGGTAAACAGCTGTCCCTGTGCCCAGGCTGCCCACGCGCCTGGTGGAGGGGGGCACCTGTATTACTAGGTCACACAAGAGCCTGCCTCCATGCACCCCACTGGCAAACAGGGCCCCATCGGGAAACCCGGAATCTAGGTCAAGACGGTGGGGTCTGTCTGCCCTGTGGCTCCCCGCCCGCCGGAAGAGGCACAGTGCTGTGCAAGACAGTGTGGGTCCCACGCTGTGGCCTCCGCATGTGGCGGGCATAACAGCGATTTCACAACCGGGAGCACAGCCAGCGGGAAGACTCCCGCCTCAGGAGGCCGGGAAACCAGGATCCTGGTCCCAGCTCTGCATCCAACTCGCCAAACCACCTGGAGCCAGTGTGCCCGCCCCTCCCCTCGGGGCCCTAGTTTCCTAGGTGCTGGTGCGTCTGAAGGCCCATCGTCCTTGTCTTCTCCTGCCCCCCAGCTGAGCTGAGCCGGGCAGCCCTGGCCGAGGGAAACCATGGGCTTCCTTCAAGGAGCAGGGAAGGGAGCGCTCCTCCCCAGGGGCTGCTCAGACGGCCTGGCGGGCATCCAGAGGCGGAGCATGCTGCCAGCCTGTGCCCTGGGGGACTGGCTTCCCCGGCCGCCCCAGGAGCTTGTGTGTAAGAGTTATTAATAAGCCATGCAGAGAGCCACCTGTGGCCTCGGGTTTGGTAAGTAGATAAAGCGGGGAAGCTTGGTGGAAACCGCTCCTTCGGGGGTGCGGGGAGTGGGGTGTGCGGGGAGGAGGGGGGTTGGCCCAAGATTTTGTCCTGCTTTCTGGCCAAGGCTGCCCCAAGCCTGCGCACCGAGGCTGGCGGCTGTGCCCCGTCCTCTCTGGCCCCACGTCCCTGCGTCATTTTTGACTTCCTCTTTCCTCTCATCCTCCACCTTCGAATCCTGGAGGTTCTCCCTCTGCAGGTGTTTCTCCTCCTCCTCATCTCCTGGCCACTCCCCCAGGCTCCATCACTGTCACCTGGGCAATGTCATGGCCGCCTCCTGCTGCCTCCCACTTTCAAAGGGTGCGGCTGTGACAGCAAAGTACAAGCGGGCGCCTTGCCTTGGTCCCCACAACCTCCTGCCCACCCTCTCCATCATCCTGCTCTACGGCCTTAGGCTCCACCCACCTTGACGAGTGTCCCAGTTACACGCTGGTGCCGGGCCCTGCTTTCAGGCCGTGGCTCAGCCGGTGCCTCCTCCTGATACACTCCTTTAACTTGTCAAATGTAGGAACAGAGGTGCAGACAGGTACGTGACTGGCCGTCACTCCACCCCAAGCCACCATCTTCTCTCAGCATCTCCTCCTGACCAGCCTCAGGGCTACCTCTCTCCAGGCCCTCATCCATGACCAGCCAGGGATTTTGTAAAGTATATGCGCAACTCTGAGCACACCTCTCCCCTGCTCCTCCATGATCTTAGGAGAAAGGCGGAAACGCTTAATGGGACCTTCAAGGCCCTGCCTGCCTGGCCCCTGCGTGTTCTCCAGGTTGGTTCCAGCCCCCGGTGACGGCGCTTCAGCCACGTGGACGCCTCCCTGTCAGTCCATAGGCAGCAGCGGCTGCTGCCTTCTCTCCTCTGCCTGGAACGCCCCTCCATTGTGCATCCCCATAATCACATATGTGCACACATGTGCCTGCACCTGCACACGCACCTGGGGCCGGACTGTGGGCTGAAGTCCAGGTCTGCCCCTTGCTCCCATGGGACTCGGGCAACATGCTCCCTCCCTCTGTGTCTCCCTGGGCACATCGTGGCTCAGGGATGGATGATGCTGATGGCAACTCTATTTTGAAGCTCAAGGGCCCAGTGAGTATGACCTGTGAAGATTATTTTTCAAGGTCTAGCCATGGTGGACATTCAGTGTTTTTTTCTTTTGGGCACAAGAGCAGCGGGTCTCTCCCCAATGAGATTCCTAGCACAGGCATTTTTAAAAGGGACCACCTGACGCCCACAGAGTAAATGGTGGTCGGCGACTTCTCCTGAGACAAGGCTGGCGCTGAAGCGTCCTCTTGCCTGTGGCATTTCTGGTGAAGATGGTTGCCGAATGCTGCTCGGCTGTGCCACGGTTTCAGGGCGGCCCAGTGCCTGGCCCACAGCTGGTTGGGACGGAGCTGCCTGGCCTCCTGTCCGTCTGCTGCTCGCTCACTCTGTCACCCGGCCACGCCCCCACCTCTCCTGGACCCTGCTCTTCCCCTGCAGAGTGCGGATAATCGAGTACAAACCTTCCAGGGACTTGTAACAAGGAGGACACGAGATAGCGTGGGAAGCTCTCGGTGCAGGCTGAGTAACAAGCACTACTAGTAAGTGTGAGCACTGTTATCATGCATTTAATTATAATTTAATGTCATTACGACCAGAGGAAGCTTGCAGAGCCCAAGAATAACCGAGCTGATCTGCTCTGCTCCGACCCTCCTGGAGGTGGCACGCCTTGCAGAGTGGAACTCCTTCCGCCCCGGGTTGTATGCGGCTGTGGGTGGGGCGGGCCAGAGAGGAGGCCCCCAGCCACAGGTCCGTCTAAGGCCCCGCCTGGGCTGTGAGGAGCTTGTGAAGGAACGCGATGGCCGGGAAGGCCCTGGAGAAGCTGAAGGGGACACGCAGGGCCAGGCTGTGTGAGGCCCGAAGTGGGGTTGGCCGTGGTGGCGGGGCCAGGGGCTCCCATCTTAGGGGTGAGTGTGCCCCTCTCCTCCCTCCAAGGGGTCACTGGGGACCGGGCTCAGCGAGTCAGCATGGGCCAGGGATTTGTGGGGTGTGAGGACTGGGCTCAGGGCCCCTTTGCTCCCCCTTCCTTCCCCCCAGTGACACTCTAAGGAAGGAGATCAGCACCCACTTATAAAACCAGGGCGGTGCCAAGAGGCAGGAGATGGAGGTGCTTGTGGGGGAGGGGCTGCAGGCAGGCCTGACCTTTTAGTTTGGAGCCTCTTCAGGGCCCTCTTCTTTCTCCTCCTCTTCCTCGTCCTCGTCCTTGCCCTGACCCTGGACCTCAGCCTCCGGCTCCTC